AGTTCAGGAGATTGTCTTGACCAGGACCACACCCCTAAATGCATTGAAGCAACTGCCATGTGATTGGTTGATTAGATAATTGCATTACTGAGAAATTGAACAGGTGTTCCTAATAATCCTTTAGGGGTGTGTGTATGTATATGTATATGTATATAGTATCTATATATATAGATACTATATATATATAGTATCTATCTATCCCCAACCTCACTGGCTGACCACCACTCCCCTTAGGTGACTGAAGGGTAGCCATGTAACACTTGTTAGAGCTGTGCTGCTACTTGACTGAATAGAGAGCTTTGCTATATAAAAGCTATTCAGGTTTGATAGTGGCAATGCTACGACCACGGTACTGGAAATGTTGAAAAACAAATTGTTTTTGTAGCGATGCTACTGCCTAAAAGTGGGTGTCACTCTAACCAACCATACAAGTCAATTTGTAAAAACTCCTTTATTCCAAAAAGCTGACAAGTCACTGGGGCACACTGACCATTTACCAATATCGATACACAGCCCAATATGATTTCAGAACACAATTCATTCCAGATTAAGACGGTATCAGGAGGCAGTGAGGCAAAGCACCCAGCAGTCTTACTTTAGGATGACTGGCTTTTTTCCTGTGCGTCCCCCTCCCCTTTCATCTTTTACACCCCAATATGGGTATTTTACTCCTGTGCTTCCATGGTTGCTTCCTTCCTTCTACCTCCCAAACTACCCATAAGCCTAATTTAAACCCTTCTACCAACACCATTCCCCACCCTAAAGCCATTTAGTTCCTCTTGGTCTTGGGAGAGTCATATTTCCTCTTGCTGGAGTACCAGAGGAGTAGGGGGATGCCAATGGATGGCAAGGTCATGACCCCAAAAGCAGCCCAGTCCAGCTGAGGGGGAAAAGGGTGCGAGTAGAGAATGAGCATATGAAGTTGCCATTTAGCCAATGAAACACCTGTTACAAGGCCAGTACAGAATACAGAAAGGTCCCAGGGTCAAAAGGACAGAAGCACTGGCTGGGTGTTCCAGTCAAAATCAGTTCAGCATTGAATACTGCCAGGCCATAAGATTTGTGATTGAGGGTTTGCTCAAAACATGCACTAAATGTTCAGATGCCCTAGACTGTCCATTATCCACCTAAACGATCACACTACCTTTAGTTTTAAATGCTCCTTTAAAAGGAAATGCAACTTACATAATGAGGAGAGAAGCGCCTGTCAAATTCCCTCTGGGCCAGAATACCACCCTGTCCAGGGGCACTTGTGTACCCAACCTGTGACGAGGGTGAAGACAGTCAGAAGCCAAAGCTACAAGCACATAACACTATTCAAGGTGATGACATACCTTGACATATTAATGCTCTTTTTGGCAGATTTGAAAAGTTGGTCCCTTACCACAACTTGTCCCCCTTCCTGGGCCACGTAGCTGACAGATGCAGAAGTGAAGTTGAAGTACCCAGCCTTGAGGGGGCGCAATACCACTGTATGGGATACATTGCTGGCTCTGAGGTGGGGGCATTAAGGAGGAGAAGCAAAGTACGAGAAAATGACAAGTCAGGAATTCCAAGGATTTCGAAGGCTGATGCCTTGTCCAGAGCCAAGTGAAACCATTTTACTTCCCCTTTCTTCCTCTCCCTGTATCCCTTCATTTACCTAGGGGCCCAGGATGCAGGGAGCGGATGGAGTAGTGATGGGATGGGGTGACATCAGGCTTCAAGTGTTTTTTCTATTCCTTTGTCGTTTGAAACTCTGAGTGAGTCTATTTTAGGGAAGGTGTTACGTCCCTATGCGCTCCCATCGGCCCGGCAGTGGCAGTGCCGTGGTTGTGGGAGGTGGGCAGTGTCAGTATTGGATTCATTATCAAGGGAATTCTTTTCACCTGGCGACAGGTGAAGTAGGGGATAAGTGTGGCCTCAGATCTGTTTCTCTCTCTCTTCACTTATTTTCCCCCAATGCTGAGCTACACCC